ACATTGATGAAGGAGAGCCCAGCCCACTGTGAGCAGGACCACCCACAGGCCGGTAGTTCTGGTTGTCTAAGAAAGGTGCCTCACCACAGGTCTATAAGAGAAGCAAGCCAGAGAACAAGAAGCAGCCCACATGGTCGTTCCTGTGCGCTCCCTGGTCGGAGGTAATAGTGCCTGCAAGAGCAAGCACTGTGACCTTCAGGTTTCTGCCCCGATTCCCTGCCTTGACTTTCCTCAAAGATAAACATGACATGGAAGTATAAGATGACATAAACCGTCCCCACCCCAAGTTGTGTTTGGTCATCGTGTTTCATCACAACAACAGAATGGAACTAGACTAATAAATTACTATGAAACTCTACAATGAAACTTCAGTGGCATCCCCCATGTTGTGGGTATAAGAATACAGATACATACCTTGACTTGCTTGCATGATTAAAAATCCAAGACAAGTATCTATGCTTTTTCTCCTTTTATTTCTAGGTACCATGCCTGTGATAGTTCTTAACAGCAGCAGAATTAGAGAATAATTTGGGAATAGAATCCCAAAGAGGCCTGGGGATTGATAGCAAACTCTGTATTAGTTTTCCAGTGAGTGTGATGGCTTTTTTTGTACATCACAACTTGGCTGAGATATGATGACTAGCTATTTGTTCAAATACTACAGTAGATGTTGAATGTACAGATGTCTGTAGATGAGGTAATGTTTTTAACCATTTGAATGGAGCATATTACCTGCCGTCATATGTATTGACCTCATCCAACCAGTCGAAGGCCTTAAGAGCAAACACTGAAGTTTCCTAAGGAAGAGACAATTCTACATTAGAACAATCATCTCTTTAAAACGGTTTCCTAAAGTTTTCTGGAACACATCCTCACAACACATTTGAATAGAGAGTATTTTTCAAATCCATCTTACACAACAATATTTCCCAGGTTGCGTAATTAATCTACCACCCTGGAAAGACTATGATAAAAGGCTAGAACAGCCTCAAAAAGACAAAGAAAAGTGAATACACAGATGCTGCTATTTCAGCCAACATCTACACTGTCTCCTGGAAGTGTCCCCACAAATCTCTCAGTTATCGTGACTGTATAATGGAGGAACCTGGGCTAACAGGGAGTGATGGACTTTTCTCAGAGACAGTGCAGCTATCCCTACGTTCTGAATGTACTTGCTGCCCTGAAGCAATGCCTTGAGAATCCTAACATTAGTCAGAAAGCTGGTGCTTAGAGCTCTTTTGGCCAGCAAGTGAGATGTTTCTCATTCTAACTAAAAGGATATGAGGATCTGTTATGTGAGTGAGAACATTAAGAGTCCCCAGAGCAGAAGTTCTAGTACATCTCATTCTCATCCCTAAAGATAGACCTAGCGTGTCCTCATGACACTGGGAACCGTTTCCCTTGGGAGAAAAAGAAAATTTGATCAAAAGAATTGAGCATCATCTCTCCTCTATCTCCCAGGCAGTGATTTCGAATAGATGGGAATTTGCTTTGGTCCCAGCATCCTCGCATAAAATAAAAAGGCTCCCTGGCTTTTAAAATGCTAAATGGGTTTACTGGACTGAAATGGTTATTCTCATGTTTCATAGTGTTGTCTCTCCTACCTTGATTCTTATTTCTTCAACTTAATATGGCATTTCCTCTGGGGAAAGAATTTACACACCCCTCCACAGGAAAACAAGCCCCTTTTGGCCCATCTGTAGTTTGAGTGGCAAAGGGCCCACACATGTTCAGTCCGACTCACGTGGTCCTATTCAGGCTAATGCCGGTTTCATGACATCCGTAAGGCTTGATCTCCCCTCTCTTTCTCACTTGGGAGCAGGTGGACCCAGACAGTTCTTTGGAGCCACGTGAGTGATTTCTCTCTGGAGAGACACATCTCTCTAGTCTGCCAAGGAATGAAAATCCAAACAATTACATAGATCACTTCCAATGGTGCCAAATACATTCCACCAAATGCCACTGGCAGTCGTTACAGCACGTCATTGGGAGATGTGGTTTTCTTCCAGCATTAGACTTTCATGATATCTTGAATGCCATGACGCCAAGAAACGAAGGGCATCACTCCACAGAAACAGTGGGTCCTCACAACCTGCAGCCGTGCTTCTTGACCGTGAAATGTCTGGAACCAGGAATTAAGAAGCATACTGTAGAATATGCTGCCCTGCCTGCTCACCACATGTATCAGCTTCTCCAAAAATTAGGCAAAATGTTAAATAAAGACCACCATTTTGTACAAATAGGGCTGAGGGAAGGCATGACCTGTTGTGGCTTAGGAAAAGGAACACTCTTCGGGAAGAATGGAAAGTCCTGACAGCCAAAGATGAGTCTGCTCTTCAGGAGGCAAGAACATCCCAAAGTCTACCAGTATTTTTAGATTCAACTGCAAGACTGCCTTTCATGCAAACAAGACCAGAAAGTCATACCAAAGGACAGAGAAAGACCAGGGACAAAGCAGCGTGGAAAACCAAGTTTTTTCAAAGATGAAAGACTAATAATAAGAAGCCAGCCGTGGGGAGCTGCAGGATGGCAAGGAAAGGCAGAGCCACCTAGGAGGGGTGAGACGGGAGGAGGGAGTCTGCAGGGAGGGGGAGAGAGCAGAGAGCTGAGCACGGACGTCAGGAACAAAAGCCCAGGCAGTGGAGTCTGGCGAAGGCAAGGAGAGAGCATGGGGTGTTTTTGAATAATTATTAAAATGAGCATGTGTCTGCGCCATCCTGTGGGTGTGGCGCAGAGCGGAGTGTAAACTCTAGCGGGGCCGAAGCAAACATTGGCTTAGCGGCAGCAGCTGCCAGTCTGTGCCTAGGAGTGTGGGGACCAGCGCGGCAGCAAGCAGACCGACACCATGGCCTCGTCTCAGGGGAAAAACGAGCTGAAATTCGCCGACTGGATGGCAACTCTGCCTGAGAGCATCCACAGCATCCCCCTCACCAATTTAGCCATCCCAGGTAGGTACCCGCGGCACCTGCCCCGCCCTGCTTCACCTTACACTCAGTGCTAACTTGCTTCGTACCCACAGGAGGGAAGCTCGTCCAGGGAGGTGGGTACCCGGGTTCTCCAAACCTTGGAGGACCCTGGCACCGGGCGTCAAGGTGACTGCTTCTCCTGAGCTTCAGAAGGTTGTATTCGCAGGGCTGGGGCAGGGGAGAAGGTGGTTCCAGGATCGCGCCCTGGGCCCCCTTCTGTGGTTTTCCCGGAAGATTTAAGGGATTTGGGGGCCAGGCAGTTCAGGATTCTGAGTCGGTAGCTCCATGGTGCGCTACGGGAAGAAGCTGGCTGTCTTAGGAGTTCGGCTCCTGAACATCACCGAGTCCCTCCTCAGCGTGGACTTAGGAGGATTTTGTAGTTTCACTGTTAGAATCTAGCCGAATCATTAGTATTCGTCCCCAGTCTCCTTTAAAGAGACAAAGCGCTCTCTGAAGAGTGATGAAAGTTCAGGGACCAGTGGCGGCGGCGGCAGCATAATCGCTGTCCTTGACACGGAGCTGAAGGGGGCAAGAAGCAGAAAGCAAGCATTTCCTAATTGGCTTGGGCACGGAGGGAGTCTGGCCACAGAGCTGCTTAAGGTAGAGCTTCTGGGTGAGGAGAGCAAACCCTTGCAGACCACACATTTGCTGCTCCAGACAGAAGCCAGGCGGTGAAATCCACGTGAGCAGCAGCGTAGAGGTAGAGATGGGAATCATGAGCAGATTGCCCCCGAAAAGGTGACTGAGCTGGTGGCCTAGAAAGGAAGCTTCGGACCAGCCAGGTGTAGGTGTGTGGGGCGTCAAGAGGCTTTAGCATGGTATGCATGGTTTGGGCCAGAGCACTGGCCAGCTTTCTGGGTCGGAGCACACAGCAGTCCCCTAACTTAGGTATCTAAGAGGGAAGATTGTTTCTGGACAGTTTACAAGCGCGGCAGCTGGGGAAATGCCTTTATTTCTTTAGCAATTCGGTTATGCACATGAGTTGAGGGTATGCACATCCGATTCTTATAAGACTAGGCTGGAGGGCAAATTACTCATGGATAATCAACCCCCTGCCCAGAGGAGAGCTGAGTTATTAAGTTCAACCTTCTGGTCAGTCTGTTTCCTCCGATCTGCCCTCCCCCGACCCTCAACCCCCAACGGAAGCACAATGAGTTGGGAGGAACGGAGTGGAAGTGAAACCTAAGAAATAAGGAGAGGAGCAAGAAATAAAATGGGTTTCTGGAAAAATACCAAGTGCCCAGCTAACAAGCACTGGGACTCACCAGCAACTTAACTCAATTGAAGTGGATTTTGGTGGCAATGACAGACACAGGCTGAGCAGAGCACTGTCCTCAGAAAAAGGTTGTCTCTCCCTTTGTCCTTCCTCACCAAAGGACTTCCCAGGGGCCTAGGTGTCTCTTTGGGAAAGCACAGCCCAGCTTCCCCTCTGCATCAATTCCATTCTCCTGGTTGAGACAGGGGGTTGCTCTTTTGAAGGAGCAGAAAGCACACCACTTTGTCAGTGAAACTCTACTTTCGCTTCCACCGGCATCCTCATCTTCTCTTGCTTTTTATTGTTTTCTTAGACAGTTATTTCATGTGGTTCCACCTGCTTCCGGCACTGAGCTGGTAATAAGGGCAAAGACGGAGATGCTAGGTCTCCCGGAAGAGAGTCTCTAGAGATGGAAGGAGGTTAAATGCCTGAGGTAGCACCAGCTCTGAGGGATGGTGTGATGCCACATTTGAGTCTCACCATAAATGTCTGTAACACTTCGATTTTCAAAGCCAATGTATGTCTGCTACCTCAAATTCTTCAAAAAAACTCGGCAAAGTAGGCAGTGCTGGGATTACCACCCCACTTCCTAGACTAAAAACAAGCAACCTCCCCCTCAGAACCAAACAAAACAAGACCCAGAAATTCAGTGCAGGCAAATGACCTAAAACTTGCTTAGTGATCTGATCCCTAACAGAAATGTTACGGACTATTTCTTAGCAATGCAGGGGTAAGGACTTTGCAATGTATGTGAGCATAACTGAGAAGCAACAAGTTCTCAATGAGGCGAGAAGTAAGGCATCTTAGAAACAGGGTGATTTTCCTTTTCTATGTCATGGGACTAAGGGGAACTTTGAAGTCAGAGACTGATTTTTCTGCTGGTCTCTGGTAGAGACATAAAGATGATGAAATTTGGAAGATAACTGTCTTTCTGTTGTATTCCTAAGCCCTTTTAGTATAAGATTTAAAGTAAATGACCCATAAAGCCTTGTACTTTCACACCAACACTTCTGTGAAACACACACACACACACACACACACACACACACACACACACATTCCATGTCACCAAATATATATTCCCCAATACCCATATAGTTGTACAAAAATAGGTTTTTGCAAAATTCTTAACTATAAAACTGGGATTAAAATGAGTCTGGTACCTTTCTGCATCATATAACACGGAATTTCTGGAGAAAAAGAAGACATTCAAATTTTGATAGAGCAGACTAATTGGAGACTATTACACACTAATGGAATAATTGCCTTAAAATCATGCTAATAGCTTCCTGGCTGCTACATGTTTACTTGGCCAGTTGCTCCAGCTTGAATTAAGCAATTATCTCCACCATTTAAAACCACGTCTGGTGCACAACGCAAGTGTTTCTGTGGAGAGGAACTGCTGCTCAGTCGTCCTACAGCCTCAGGTTTTCTTAGGTGAAGCCTATAGAGGGTGAAGAGCCAGCTAATTATGAGGCCACCTACTTGGGGCAGCTGTCTCACTTACCTAAGACCATAGCAAAGAACAGTCTCTCTCTCTCTCTCTCTCTCTCTCTCTCTCTCTCTCTCTCTCTCTCTCTCTCTCTCT